GGCTCTTGAGGCAGCCAGAGGCCAGTGTACCAGGACAGCCAGATGCAGACCCTGATTCTACACTCACACCCTCACCCCAGTTAACTGTCCCCATCTCCAGCCAGTGTTCTGAGGACCTGCCCTCCAGAATTTAGATGTGTAGGATCAGGATGGCCAGCCTCGTTCCAGGGCCTCTTGGTGGTTTGCTCCTATCTATCTGCCTCTCATCACCATCAAGTGATCAGTGGTGCAAAATCCTTGAGAGGTCAGCCACAGGGGGAGGGCTGAGTCTAGAACCCAGGTTTGTCACAGGCATTTGACAATAAGCCACAGCTGTAGCAAAACCCTTGCACAACTCACACTTGCTGAAATGTTAGGGTCATCTGAAAGGAGAGTCCTCCTAGAAAGGAGAGTACCCCAGTTTACACCCCCCAGGTTCCAAACGCTGGTTTCCTGGGGGTGGAGGCTGGATAAAGCACATTTGCGAAGCACTCTCCATAAACCCACTGCCGTTGACTTGATTCTGATTTAGAACTGCCTCCTAGGACTGAACAGAATAGTCTCATAGGACTGTGACCTCGTGGAGCTAAGCTTTCAACCCGAAGGCTACCCAGCTGCTCCACTGGAGAAAGACGGGTGGTCTTGTCCTGTGTGACTTCCTGCCTCTGAAAACCCAGCGTATCGTCAGCCATGAGTCAGTTCCAACTCGACCGTACACAACAACAACAACAACGACAATCTTAGTGGAAGAAGCCTGCCGTATCTTCCACAGAGAGCCTGGTGGATTTGAACCGCTGACTATTAGCAAAGCAGTGCTTAACTGCTGCATCATCAAAGCCCCTTTCTTTTTATTTTGTCTATAAAATTTTCATGTATTGTGACAACGAAACAAAACATGACCCAGGGAGACAAAGTGAGCAGGTGCTGTTGGAAAAATGGAACCTAGAGACTTGATACAGGTTTGCCTAAATCTTCAGTTAAAAAACCCAACACAACAAGACAAACCTGAGGTATCTGTAAAATGCAACAAAATGAGTCATAATAGCTTTACTATTCTTTTTAAATAACAGTATGTCATTTTTAAAAATTTTTACTGATTTAGTAGAATTAGCAGCAAATAAATGGCATTTTTATATAGGTAAAAATGTGTTGTTGTTTTAATTTTATATTGGTTTGCTTACAAAGTTCATATACATTGCTCTCAATGAAAGCCCCTTTCTTTTTTAATTGAATTAAGTATTTTTATTAATTTATACAATGAAAATAACTTTAAAAAAATACAAATTACTCCTTTATACATGGACCTCATCTGATCAGGTACATAGGAGAAAGCCCCTTTCTTTAAGATTAAAGATACAAATTAAACTCATTCCTGTTGAGTTGATCCCAACTTATTAGACCTAGAGTAGAGCTGCCCCATAGGACTTCCAAGGCTGTAATCTTTATGGAAGGAGGTTCAGGTGGTCTAGTGTTAGAAGTTGTGCTACCAACACAAGGGCAGGAGGTTCGAATCCCTCCTTGGGAGTAAGATGAGCAATCTCCTCCTGTGCAATACACAACCTGTGAAAACCCAGTGGAGGGTCAGCTATGAGCTGGTTGATGACACATAACAAGAAGAAGCAATAATCTTGATGGAAATAGACTTCCACATTTTTCTCTTACAGAGCAAGGGGCTGGTTTGAACTGCTCACCTTCTCATTAGTAATTGATCACTTAACTGTTGCACCACCAGGGTTAGAATTTTCAAAAGCCCATTTCTTGTGCTCACTTCGGCAGCACATATACTAAAATTGGAACGATACAGAGAAAATTAGCATGGTCCCTGGGCAAGGATGACACGCAAATTCGTGAAGCGTTCCATATTTAAAAAAAAAAAAAAAAGAAGAAGCTCGTTTCTTTATAGGGATCAGGGTCTCCTTCTCATGGATTTGGAAACTGAGATCCAGGAGTCTTGTGATTTACCCAAAGTCACACAGCATACAGGGATAAGGCACCCAGTGAGCTTTCACAATGACTTCACTCGAGAGCCGTGTCCCAGGGAGCCTAAGAGGCGCAGGAGAGGGACCTGTGCTGAAGATAAGAAGATAAAATCAGGAGGGCCCAGCCTTCAACTGGAGCTTGTAACAGGCGTTGCTGAGGTGGCTATTTCGAGAGCAACTGTTAAGGCTAGTAACAGTGTGGGAGGAGATGTGCAGAGCCTTGAGGTTTAGGTAGGAGGTGGAGGTGGGGTGGGGGTGGGTGCAGAGCTATACCCAGGGGCCTGGGGATTAGCCCTGCTAGGATCTGGGGAATGAAAATAGTCTGCACTCGGGAAGGAGTGGAGGCTTCCACCTGCAAAAGGAATGAACACTGGCAGGCTGCAGGGCTCTGGGATCTTGAACTGAGTCTTGTGAGTTAAGCACATGCTGTCCCAGTGGATGGGCCTGGGGACCGTGGGGCATCAGCCATTCTCCATCGGTTTCACCCAGTCGAAGAAACAGCAGGAAAAGAGGCCAGGAGGTGCGAGAGAGCATGGATGCTTGTGGGAAGTCTGGCTGGGGTGTGCCCTATGCTTGTTGTTACTGTTGTTATGTGCCATCGAGTCGTTTGTGACTCATAGCAACCCTATGTACAACAGCCCTAAACCCTGCTCTATCCTTTGCCAATCGCACTGCCTCTGACACACCCATCCCGATTATCCCAGTCACTGAATCAATCCACCTCATAGAGGGTCTTCCCCTCCTGTGCTGGCCCTCCACCCTCCCAAGCATGATGACCCTCTCCAAGGACCTGTCCCTCCTTACAACATGTCCAAAGTATGTCAGACGAAGCCCCAGAATCCTTGCCTCCAAGGAGTAGCCTGGTTTAACCCTCTCTAGGATGAATCTGTTTGTTTTCCTAGCAGTCCATGGTACATTCAATACTCTTCTCCAGCACCACAGCTCAAAGGCATCAATTCTCCTTCTATCCTCCCTACTCATTGTCCAACTCTCTGATGCATAACTTAGGATGTGGAAATGGAGGTTCACCAACTCGCACAGCCAGTGCAGAGCCGGTGCAAGCCCAGGGAGGCCTGACCCCATCATCTCTCAGGAGAACACTAGGCAAGTGCAGTAGGAACTCGGAGTTTAAGCCTACCCCCCACTCCAAGGGAAGTCCCTCAATGAGATGGACTGAGACAGTGACTGCAGGAACGAGCTCAAGTGTGTCAGAGACGATGAGGACGGCACAGGGCAGGACAGGGTTCAGATCTGTTGTTCACAAGGTTGCGACAAGTTGTCTTTGACTCGACAACTCCTAACAACCACCACCACTCTGAGTAAACCTATCCGGACAGTTATCGAAGAATGAGCTGAGGAAGCACCATGTCTAAGGCCAGACTCTGCTTTCCTGGAGGTCTGCTGTGGGGAAGAGCCAGTCTGTGGGTCACTTTCCCGATGATAGGATCATTGTAACCCCAAGCGACCCCAAGAGAGGATCTTCTGGTTTCACTGCCAGGTCCTGCCTTGGCCATCACCCCACCCTCCCCTGAAGGCCTCAGAGTTGGTGGATTGAAGAGTGAGGACGAAGTATCCAGTGTGTCATCCATCTACTCAACACACATTTCTTGAGCATCTCCTGGGTGCCAGGCCTTGGGCTGGGCAGGGTGATACAACAGTCAGACAGACATGGTCCATGCCCTGTTGGAGGGAAGGAGGAGCCTTTCTCTGGCCCAATCCCTATTTTAGAAATGGGGAAACTGAGTCCCAGAGAGAAGTAACTTGTTCAAAGCCACATAGCTAGTTAATGGCAGGTCAGGCCTTGTCCTCTCTGCAGCTACACTGCTCTTTGATTAACCAGCAAATATCCATTCCAGGGAGCCAGACACTGCTCTGGGCCCTGGGAGAAAGATGGCAGTGGCTTGTCAGCAAAGATCCCCACCCTGAGGGAGTTAATGGAAAAAGACCTCAGAAACACTAAGTGGAGTAAACAAGTAAATTTGTTACCAGGGAGCAAAGGGAGGCAGAGAGAAGAGTGAAGATTAATCAATATATGTTGTTGTTGTTGTTGTTGTTTGATGCCGTCGAGTCGTAGACAACTCATAGCGACCCTATGAACGAATGGCCTGAGCACTGTTTGTACATAGAGTTTCCAGAGGCAAGCCATTTTGGAAGTGGATGCCACTCCTGCTTCCAGGCTTGATTTAGTCGGGAAGCTCCAGCCAATAACTGTCCACCATGGGTACCCATTACCAAGATTGGCACATCACTGTCACAGGCTTCAGCATCACAGCAACCACGAGTTACCTCTGTACAGCAACACACAGACCAGCGCTATACCACCTAGAAGAATGTTTGACAGGAAGACAATTTGAATCTGGCCAAGGGCCACAGAGGAAAATCACCCACCTTCGGCTTGGTAGCATAGCTTTCTTTCCACTAGGCCAACGTAGCTCTCTCTTGGTCATCATCATTATATGATCAATATTTATTAAAATTGGTGAGGGGAAAGGCAATACAGAACAAGTAGATGAGCAAATATGGTGGATATTGTAATTAATGTTATAAAATACGTACAAATAATTTCTTGAAAACAATATAATTTTGACTCAAAGTCACAGTAATTTAAAAAACCAAAACACTTTTACACCTGTTTTCTTATTTGATCTCTGAAGAGGGTCAGTCACCCATTTCATGATGAGGAAACTGAGGCTGAGGGTCCCTCACAGCCAATGACCACTTTCCAATGGCCTCTTCCTGTCAACTTCTTGGGCTTGTCACAAAGGATAGGATAGGAAGTAGCAGGGGGGAGAAGGAGAAGAACACCCACATGCCGACAAGGGATGGGGCAGGAGGGGTACTCCCCTGAGGACCAAAGGGAAGTACCAAAGCTCCACCTTAAGAGGCAGGACCTCAGAGGCTCCCTTCACCCCCACCTTCAGGATGAGGCATAAAAGTGCCTTACCAGGCTGCTTCCAGACAAGAGCAGGAGGAGTCAGCTTGGGGACCTCTGGGACAGAAGGGAGCTGGGACCCCAGCACACACAGAAAGCCGTGACTGGGAGTCTCCTTGCAGAGATGAAACTGCTCCTGGCCCTGGCAGGGGCTCTGGCCACGCTTGCCCTCCCCGAGCCCTGTGAGGGCACTGCCGCAGGTAATAATAGCCCCTTGGACAGCCCAGAAGGAGGTGGGCCTGAGGTGGCAGATGGATGGGCAGGTGCTTGGGTGCTGAGTCTCCAGGTATCTGAACAGCAATCCCCAGGGCAGTGGAAACATCCGTCATTCAGGACTGCATCACAGAGGCCAAGCTGATGGTGGACACAGCCTACAATCGGACACAAAGGAGGTAGGCTGGGCCCAGTGGCTGTACCTACAAGAGGGGTTGGGCTCGAGGCAAGGCCATCTCACCATGTCCTTTCCTCCGGGCATGAACAAAGACAAGGCACTGACACTGTTGAGAAGCATCTCCCTGTGTTTCCACGGTCCTATCTGTCCATCCAGGGCGGGGGCTGCCTCTGCTGTGTTGGTCTGCATCCTTCCTGAGCCTTCATCCTTCCTTTTCTGGGCAGCATCAAGCAGCGCCTTCACAGTGGCTCAGCCAGCCCCATGGACTTCTTGTCCTACTTCAAACAGCCAGGAGCAACCACCAAGATGATAGTTCGTGCTGCTGACTACATGCATGTGGCCTTGGGGCTGCTGGAGAAGAAGTTCCAGCCCCAGGGGTCCAGGATCTTCAATGTAACTGGTATGATGCTACTTGCCAAGCCCCAGTGCCTCCTTCAAGTGTGGGAGTGGAAAGAAGTCAGGAGGAGGCAACTGGCAGCGTCCTAGGGTGCAGGGAGGATAGATGGTGAAGGGATGGAGCTTTGGAAAAGTCAGCTCTAGGAAGAAGCACAGCTCCTGGGACTCTGAGCTTAGAACTCCACCAGATATGTCTTCTCTACTCCCAGAGGTGCTGACGGAATCCCAGATCCAGCTGCTGTCCCAGGCCAGCGGCTGTGCTGTCCAAGACAATGTTGAGAAGTGCAGCAACAAGTACCGTACCATCACTGGGATATGCAACAACAAGTGGGTGATGCCAGGGGCCCGACCTGCGCCACCTCCTCCCTCACCCTGCCCCCTCCTTCATGCCATGCTGTGTTGAGCTTAAGTCCCGAGCCCTGTCGACTCAGCCCATTCTCTGCTGCAGGAAGAGACCTTGGCTGGGGGCTTCCAACCGGGCCCTGGCCCGCTGGCTACCAGCCCAATACGAGGACGGCGTGTCGCTCCCCTTCGGGTGGACCCCTGGCAAGAGGCGCAATGGCTTCCTCCTCCCTATGGTGAGTCAGGGTTGGGGTCCAAAGGATGCTCGGTCACTTCTAAACCTGGTCCAGATTAGCTGGGCAACTCATACAGTTTTCTGATCTGTAAAATTCCCGCAAAACAGTACCTACCTCACAGAACTGGAGTAAATATTAAAGCACTTGGTATAAACAGCTATACAGGACATAATCTATTTATTCATGCCACCCATTATATAATGGGCGCTCTGGCGTCCTAGTGGTAAGAAGCTGTAATGCAATCCCAAAGGCACATGGCTAGAATCCCCCAGTTGCTCTGTCAAAGAAAGATGGGCAATCTCCTCCCATGCGATTAACTGCCTTTGAAAACCCTCTGGAGGGTCAGTTATGGGTTGGTTCCAATTTGTTGGTCCACAACAATTAGATAATTACTGTTATTTTTTGAGACAATTCTGGTCAAAGCATCTTATAAAGAGCTATCTATCTCATTGAGCTATTTCTATTGTTATAGTTAACATCTATCAAGGCACAGGGGAAGGCAGGATTTCAACATGTTGTTCATGGGATCGCTATGAATAGTCAACTCGATGGCACATAATAAGAAGTTACTGATAGGTTCATGTAGCCATCATCTATCAATTTACATTTATGTAGATTGATTTTTTTCCCCATTGATTCATCTAGCTCTTCATTCAATTTTCTATTTACCATCCATCACCCATTAATCATCATTCCCTGTAACTCTCAATGCATTCTATCATAGAATCTATTAATGTGGCAGTTTGGTCTGTTTCTCTCTCTAACATAGCTGGTGGGGTCTAGGCCAGCCAACTGGATCTTTTGTTTTCTCTTTATTCTTATAATCTTCAGAACATAGGTCAGAGATCATTCCTTTAAGAATGACAGCCAGCACAAGAGAAGGCTGGTTTACTTCTTCAGAGGCAAAGGAAGGAGAGGGCAGGAGAGGGGAGACTGCTCTCTCCAGCAGGGGGTGCTGCTTCCCCATGATCTGAGGTGCCCTTGATGTCAGCTAACCTTATCTCTCCACCAGGTCCGGGCTGTCTCCAACCAGATTGTGCGTTTCCCCAATGAGAGGTTGGCCTCAGACCGGGGTCGGGCCCTCATGTTCATGCAGTGGGGCCAGTTCATCGACCATGACCTGGACTTCTCCCCAGAGTCCCCAGCCAGAGTGGCCTTTTCTGGGGGCATCAACTGTGAAACATCCTGTGCTCAGCTGCCCCCCTGCTTTCCCATCAAGGTATCCCCAGCCAGCCTCCAAGGCCCCTGGTGTGGCCTCCACCCCAGTCAGAGGGTTGGGGGGTTGGGGATCCCACAGATGGTGGTACCATCCTTCACAACCCTTTGTATCTAAAGACTTTTGTTGCCAAGAGATTCCTTGTGCTGTGCACTTGGGGGTTCAGAGCAGTCTACCAAGTTGTTCGGTGCAGATTCACGGAGGAAGCCCAAGTCAGGCCTTCAGGTCAGCTTTCAGCTGGAGATGTTTGGGCAGCTGATTCTGGAGACCATCAGTGCTTGATCTCTTCTTTCCTGGGGTGGTTCAAGGCTCTGTAGTTCTCATCAGCCCCTGGAATGGGGGTGAACAAAAAGGCCTCTATTCTTTACGGTGGGATGCAGGGGGAATGTGAGCATGAGGAAAGAAAAGATAAAACACAGTGAGCTGAGTCTGCTGGGGATACAGGACAGACACATAGAAACACACACACATACACGCAAGAGATCTTCAAGTAGCATTCTTGAGGGATGCTAAATGAAGATCGCCTTATGGAAACTTTATCCATATCTCAAACTCTGCTTAGGGACACCTGTTCTGAGAAGCCTTCCCAGATCTTCCTCATAAACTATAATAGAATGGTTGGTATTTATCTCAAGCACAGCAAAGATCATTTCCATTTAGAGTCACATAACTCTGTGTGTGTCTGTTTTCACTGACCTGCCAGCCTCCTGCAACCTGCACTAGTTTGGGTAAATTTCAGTGTTCATGTACCCAGCATAGGAAAGAGCTTACGACATGTCTGTTGAAAGAGCACAAGTTGAAACATCAGGAGAGTAAAGTTCTAATCCCACCACTCCCACTAACTAGTACCCATTTTTCCCTTCTCAGAGCCTCAGTTTCCCCATCTCTAAAACGAGGACCTAGGTAATCTCAATGGCCTTATCTATTTCTAACCTTCAAGACTCTGTTACAAATGCTTAGGACACCCAGGGTGAAGCCCAGGAAGGCTTCCTGAAGGAAGAGTTCTGAGCAAACTGTTGAGGCAAGTGGGGGATGACCAGAAGAGGGCCTGCTGTTGAGGGATCTTTTCCACTGCAGATCCCACCCAATGACCCTCGCATCAGGAATCAGAGAGACTGCATCCCCTTCTTCCGCTCAGCACCTGCTTGCCCCCAGAACAAGGACAAAGTCCGCAACCAGATCAATGCGCTCACGTCCTTTGTGGACGCCAGCATGGTGTATGGCAGTGAGGTCACCCTCTCCCTGCGGCTCCGCAACCGCACCAACTACCTGGGCCTGTTGGCCGTCAACGAACAGTTCCAGGACAATGGCCGGGCCCTGCTGCCCTTCGACAACATGCGGGACGACCCCTGCCTCCTCACCAACCGCTCGGCGCGCATCCCTTGCTTCCTAGCAGGTCAGACTTGGGACAGGCCAGTCCCTGGTTCTGGGTGTGGGCAGTCAGGATTGGTGTGGCGAGGGCTCCTTGTTTATGATTGTAGTATTAGGCGGCCACAGGCACGCTGTTGTTGCCATCAAGTCAGGTCCTGACCCAGTGGATGGCGAGTAGAACTGCTCCACAGGGGGTCCCAGGCTGCCACCTTCTAGAAGCAGGTGCCAGGTTTGCCTTAGGAGGCACCTCTGAGAAGGCGAAAGTCACCAGGCTTTTGACTGTCAGTCTGAGGCTTACCCTTGGTTCCTCCAGGGCTCTGTGGCTGAAAGAGATTTCCCTGGGAAGGGCTGTAGTAATTTTGAACTTGGGGTTTTCAAGGTGATTCTCGATCCAGTGAAACCCCCAAACTAGCCGCCATGCACACCCTCTTCATGCGAGAGCACAACCGACTAGCCACGGAGCTGAAACGGATGAACCCCCGGTGGAGTGGAGACAAACTGTACAATGAGGCCCGGAAGATTGTGGGGGCCATGGTCCAGGTAGGGTCTGGGCAGTCTTAGGGAGTGACTCCCACTTTCCTTAATGTGTCTTTGCAGAAGTACCAGCAGCGTGGAGCTGGTGGGTTACCTGGGATTTGAGCATACCCCTAATTCTGCCATTAGTTCAGAACCTGAAAAAGTGGTGGGACCATGTCCACATAGTCTAGCCTCTCTGAGCTTCAGAATCCCCATCAGCCAATGGGAAATGAACACTGCTGCATTTGACACCATCATAATAAAAATTAATGCCCAGACAGCCCTTTGAAAACTCAAAGATTTGTCTAAACTAGTGAATCGGGTAGGTGGCCACCAAGCTAGTGTTTGTTTGGTGTCTTTTTTTTAGATTATCACCTACCGAGACTTTTTACCCTTGGTTCTGGGCAAGGCCCGCGCGCGGAGGACACTGGGGCCCTACCGGGGGTATTGCTCCAACGTGGACCCCCGTGTGGCCAATGTCTTCACCCTGGCCTTCCGCTTTGGCCACACCATGCTGCAGCCCTTCCTGTTCCGCTTGGACAGCCGGTACCAGGTCTCCCGCATCCCGCTTAGCTCTGCCTTCTTTGCCAGCTGGCGAGTTGTGCACGAAGGTAACTAGGTTTTCTAGAGACAGATAAGGGTCGGGTAGGAATAGGGTTGGGGTGATCCCAGCTTTATATGAGGAACAGTGAAAGTGAGGCAGGTGACACCAAGACCCTCAGCGATGGCTTGCTCACCTCTTAGGATTGAGAGGACTTGAAAGGCACCAAAGGCAGGTTGTAGGCATGGAAGGAGCCTTCCTTCTCCTCCTCCTGTAAGAAGTGAGGATCATGACCTTTCCCTGTCAGCTCCAGCTCTAGGCTTGTTTGCTGACAAACACAGAATATAAGCACTTGACTTTGTCCAGCTTTGAGAAGAACGTGGCTGTCATCATGGAAGCCCATGCTGTTGATCTAAATCTGTGCTACTCACACTTCTGCCACCAGGTGGCATCGACCCCCTCCTCCGAGGCCTCATGGCCACCCCTGCCAAGCTGAACCGCCAAGATTCCATGATGGTGGATGAACTCCGCGACAGGCTGTTTCGGCAAGTGAGAAGGATCGGGCTGGACCTGGCAGCTCTTAACATGCAGCGGAGCCGGGATCATGGCCTCCCAGGTGAGGAGACCTGTGCTTCCAGGCTTTGTTCAGCTGGGGCTGCCAGGCGGGTGTCTCCCTTCTGACTGGGACAGTGTAGGATGTGCTGCAGTTAGACAATGTTGATGTAGTAGTCTGCCTTTTTGCTGTCTCCTCATGTCCCCCATCAGAGACTAGGAGGTGGGCACTGGAGCTGACAAAAGGCAGTGAGGACTTTTCCTCACTTTTTGTGAGGAAAAAAGTATTTTAAAGACTGTGAAGAGATGTTCTACTTCTTACCGTAGAGCCAGTACCACGGAGGCAGGCCAGCACTCCAGGCCTTCAGAAACTGGCTCCTTGCTCTAAGTGGGGGGGGAAAATGAAGCCTTAGAGGCAAGGAACTGGTAGAACAAAATGAAGACTGTGTGGTGAAGGCACAAAAAAGTATCCAGAAAAGAATGATGTTTTTCAAAAGGGAAAAACCCAAACCCACCTTTTTGTGATTTGAGTGAAAGTTTAGGGAGCGCGTTGGTTTTTCCATTTAAACAGACACATTTCGTTTTATGACATTAATTACCATTCTCACATAGCAGCACTAGCCCGGCTTTTCCCCTGATTCCCATTTCCATTCATTTTCCTGACCTCTTCATGTCTTCTGAGCTTTATCCCTGGGCAATTTTTTTTTTAATATTTGAGTGGAAGTTTATAAAGAAAATGAATTTTTCATTCAACCATTCACACACATTTTGCTTATAATATTAACTTCAAATTAATATTCAATACTGTAAGATGGAGTTCTGGAGGCCTAGTGGCAAGGAACTGTGCTGCAATCCTGAAGGCATGAGGTTCGAGGCTGCTCTATGCAAGAATGGACAATCTCCTCCCATGCGATTAACTGTCTCTGAAAACCCCTTGGAGGGTCAGCTCTGGGTCGGTTTTGACTACAATTGTGATTTCCACTAATCCTCCTAAGCCCTTCTGTATCTTCTTTTTCTTTTGTGTTATTTTATGATCTTGAGATTCTTTTATGCTCTAGATACTTATTTGCGCCAATTCAGCACATATGAGCCCAAGAGTAATATTGTCAGCTTTGTGGCTATGACTTTGGGGATCACAGAAGCTTTTCACACTAGGACACACTCTTCTTTAACGCAAAGAATGTAGTTAGCGTTTTCTTCTTTGGAAAGTTAAGGGCTCCTTTTGACACCAGGGGTCATCTTGTTCTGTCCCAGTTTCGACCAACCACCAAGCTTTCTCTCAAAAGAACTTAAGGAGAAGTTCTTAGAAGCTCAGTGGAGGTTGGCAGGATGAGACTGAAATTGTTTCTCCCACCATTCCCTTTTAGGGTACAATGCTTGGAGACGCTTCTGTGGCCTCTCCCAGCCTCGGAATTTAGAACAACTTAGCCGGGTGCTGAAGAACCGGAATTTGGCACAGAAGTTCCTGAACTTGTATGGGACACCTGAAAACATTGACATTTGGGTTGGGGCCATTGCAGAGCCTCTCCTGCCCGGGGCTCGAGTGGGGCCTCTTCTGGCCTGTCTTTTTGAGAACCAGTTTAGAAGAGCCCGAGATGGAGACAGGTAAGTGGTGCCAGAGCGGTGTGGCAGAAAGCACTAGAATTTCAACATAGACAGTGGGAGGAAAGTCTTCATTTTGGCATTCTTTCAAGTCTGTAGAATCTAGAGGAGGAGGCTCCTGAAAATTTTGGTCAAACCAAACACTGAGGAGATGAAATTGTCAGTGTAGCCTTCCAGGCTAGCCGATTCCAGAAAGCATGGTCTGAATAGACAAAATCTAGTGTCCATTCAAATAAGCTTGTGGTTTAAGACCTAATTCCTTATTTTTTGGCACTAGTACAAGCAAGGGAGCTTTGGTGGCCTGATGGGAAGGAGCGGTAGTTCCAACCCAAAGACACATGTTTCGAATCCATCAGCTGTTCAGGCAGGTGAAAGGTGGGCAGTCTCTTCCTGGGCGATTCGCTGCCTCTGAAAACCCACTGGAGGGTCAGCTGTGAGTTGATTCCAACTCTATGGCACATAAAACAGCAAATGTTAGTGAGGATGGTACAGGACCAGGCAGTGTTTTTTCTATTGTACAGAACTACTAGGAATTAGAATAGACCTGATGGCATCTATCGACCACTTACATTCAAATCCAACTCGGGCCACTTTAACACTGTTACATACTGAGAAATTTGCTTCATCCCGGAACTCATTTTTTCATTTAGAAAATGAAAATAATGATTACTTTGCTAGAATTTTGTAAGAATTGAATGAAATATAAAGTAGCTGGTATACACAAGTGCCCATTATATGTCAATCCCTCTCCACCTTTACCCACATCTCTTTGAATGTCTTGATAGATTCTGGTGGCAAAAATGGGGTGTTTTTACCAAGAGACAGCGCAGAGCCCTGAGTCAGATCTCCTTGTCGCGGATTATTTGTGACAATACTGGCATCACCACTGTTTCGAGGCACATCTTCCGAGCCAACATCTACCCCCGGGGCTTTGTCAGTTGCAGCCGCATCCCCAGGCTGAACCTGTCAGCCTGGAGAGGGAGATGAGCCCTTGGCAGGTAAGGGGAGCCCCTTGCATCCTTCCCTGGGCGGGGTGTCCTCTTGGGCTTCTATGTAGAGACAACAGGACTCATCACTAGGGACAAGATATTCTTTTTAGGGTCTTCCTCGTGTGCTGGCTCCTGGGCTCAGAGCTCATTCCAGGTCCTAGAATTTAGGGGAGAGACTAGGAAGTGTCCAGCAAGCTTAGCTTGGTTACCTCCGCAGTAAAGTAGCTCCATTTCTGGACTCCAAGTGGGTTCCTCACTTACCCAGTCTGCTTTCTCTCCACAGGAGTTCATCTATCCCAAGCCTCCCACCCCTAGACGTGAGTCTGGGGTCAGTCACACAGCTACCTTCTCCCCCTGGAGCAACCATATCCTGCTGATACTTTTGCTGGCGACAGAGTCAAGCTCTCTGACTGGTAGTGATAGCTTGAGCTCCTGGCAGCAGTGGACCCACCTACTGTGGGAGGTGCCGGGTTATGAAGCTGTTCCAAGTGCTAGGACTTGTGATCCACGCAATGAAGAGTCAGACTGTGGTTCACACCCATGTTCTTCTACTGCCCAGCTGTGACCCAGCAACTGCAGGACCATGCTGGCCCGGCCTACAGCCACCCTACAGTCCTCCTCTTGAGCCTATAGTTTGGTCCACTTCTCCCAATAAAGCACTGCTGAGAGTAAGGGCTGCCCTGTTTCTGTGGGGCCGGGGAGGGCTGGCTCACCTGCGCTTTGCTCCAGATGTTTAAGAGGAGCGCTGCTGAGATACAAGCTGCCATTCACCCCTAAGCCTGTCCTATCAGGGGGACCAAGACAACAGAAAGAAACGCTGGAATAGGGTAAAGCTGAGAAGGGAGATGACAGGGACAGTGGGACCCTGACATTAGGGAAAATACCTCAGCCGTGCCAGCAGCTTGAGCTGAGAAACAGCCAAGAGAACATCAACAGTATAAAAATATTTTTTTAAAGTGTACAAAAAAAGTGCAATTAAAAATACCACCTAGCCAGCAGAAAGAACTGGGCAGAGCCTTCCGCTTTCAGTTATTCCAGAAATAAACTGTCTCTCAAACTCAGCGAGCCCCGTGCAGCAGCACATGCTCCCTGAGAAGGTGTCTTTCGCCGTCCTCTCCTTCCTCAGCTCTCCGTTTTCAAAGATAGCTGTGGATCAGCAAAGATCTGGAGCCTTCTGCTGCTGGGGCTTGGGGACAAGCCAGAAGAGAGTCTGTGCTGGGTACAGAAGTAACCATGGGGTCAACTCCTCTCTAGTTTCAGCCCCAAAGCCTGCCTTGTTCAATGTCCGTGTGCAGGAACTGAAATGTGAAGAGAGGGCCACGTAGGGGCCACATTCCAACCTGGCAGGGGGCAGCCCTGCTGAGGGTGGGATGGAGAAACTGCCCTCCTCTTCTGGTTCTCAGCAGGTAAATGTGGTCCCTCATAAGACAGACAAGGCTTTAGAAACCACTAGTCTTTTCCTCCTCCCGAGGGCCATGATGCAGGGAGCTAGGAGTCCACAGTTCCGGAGGGGCTCAGCAGGTCCTGGGGCAGGCTTTCTCGGGCCTCCTGCATGCGGCGCCGGGCTCGATGGAAGGCCTCTGCAAGGGAAGTACAAGCAGTTGTCACAGTGGGGACAGAAGCATGGCCCGTGCTGACCCTGGTGGCCAGCTGAGAGGGAACCTACCCAGCACATTGTGAATGGAACTCTGCTGGCTGAATCCTTCCAGACGGTCCAACACGCTCCGCATCCTTTTCCGAAGGGAGCTCGACTCCATGAAGGCCCTGTGGGGGAGCCCAGCACAAGGTCATGGCTGCTCCTGACCCTCAGGGACAAGCAGCAAGGTGGTGGGCCAGGGCCACTCACCTGGACTGCTGCAGACAGTGGAAGCGGAAGGTGACGCTGCCGGTGGTCTGCGTGCGGAAGCCGAAACGGCTGAGGCGCGTCCCCTAGGGGAACAGATGAGACAGCATCAGGTTCCATGGCCTCTGGGCTTCAAGTCCACTGTTATTCACATTTTGGGGGAGCACAATTTTTTTTGGTAAACCTCATTCCATCACCAAGACCCCATCATCTCAAAGCTAAAATCTGGCTTCCCAGTAGAAAACAGGAAACATTTCAACCTGATGAAAATTAGTCCTCTTACCTACTTCCTGCCACACCTCCCCACCTCTGAATACTGAGGCTATCGGTAACAGGTGGAAGAAAGAGCTGGCTATTCTGGTGAAGACAACAGGAAATCACTATGAATACTACCTTCCAGAAATCTGAGATAGTGTAGATATGTGCACCTGGTTCAAAACATGGCCAAGCCTTCCAGATTAAGCCAAAGGAAGGAAGGAACTAAGTCTTACAGAAGTCCAGATACCACCTGCTACAGAAATAGAAAATAGGAACGCAAGCTCCTAGCAAGGAGCCTTCCAGAAACAAGTCACCTTGAAGGTTGCTGGAATCCGCACGTAGGAGAGGTCCTCCAGCTCCAGAGAACCACCAATAAAGAACCTCCTCAGCTCAGCTCTCGTGCCCAGCTCCATGGGTCTCCACGTGGAGACTGTCAGGGTGTGAGCACCTGTGTGGGGGAGGAAAACAGGGTCTGGGGCTGAGGCATCCAGCCCGTCTCTTCCTCTCTGAAAATGACGCGACATATGAACCCAAACCTGTTGCTGTTGAACTGATTCATACTCACAGGCACCCCATAGGATGGAATTCAAAGGCAGACTGCCACATCTTTCCCCCAGAGCTGCTAGGAAATCTGAACTGCTGATCTTCTGGTTAGCAATCAATGTTTAACTACTGTACCACGAAGGTTCCCTACACTAGGTCAGGTCCTGGTTCCTGGTGGTTAAGAGCACTTGTTTTGAAGCCAGCCAGATGTTTATTCATATCTCAACTCTTCTAGGTATTCCCTGCATATCTAAGAACCTCATATTCCCTCTATAGTAAAATGGAATAAAATAGCACTACCTACATTTAAGAGTGGTTTAGAGAATTCCATGAGGAGCACTTAGCATAATGACAGCACACAATGAAACCTTGTTTGGGTTTGTGGGTTTTTTTATTTTATTATTTTTTGTGTGTGTCAAATCAGATCTGACTGGTACAGGAGGAGACTGCCCCCTCCTTCTCCAGCAGAGCATCTGGTGGATTTGAATTGCGCACCTCTGGGATTGCAGTGCAGCTTCTTGTCACTAGGCCACCAGGGCTCCCTCACAATGAAACCTAGTTACCATTCTTTCAAAATGAATGTTGATCCATTCAATACCCGTATGCAGAGAGCCTGTTTTGCCATAAAGCTTCTCCCTCAAGGCTGTACAAATCAGAGGAACGTGAAGCAATGCATTGGGCAAACATTCTGCTGCTCAACTTCAGGAAGTTAGTTCTAAATTTCACTTAGCTGTCTCCAATGGAAGGAGAACAAAATTCAAGGGAGCACAAGGTAGTTACTTATAATTTCCAAGTGTCTCCACTTCACACCAGAAACCATTAAATCTTTTCAAAGTCTCAGTCTTGTTCCCAAGACTCAGGGCATGTGGCCACTGGAAGAGCAGGGTCAAGGAGTTACCTGGAGTGGCAGGCAGCACCACGGCCCCGTAGCCTTCCACACGGTACCTCTTCCAGTAGTCCAGTGAGCGGACCTCACAGTAGAGCACAGGCCACTCTGGCAGAGCATCTGGGAGCAAGCGAGAGAGCCAGCCTGGTTACAGGAGAGGCCGCCGACAGAGGTACTGGCTAGGGAGGGCCCACGCCTAGGATCCAGTGCTGACCTACTCACCGTCAGACTCATCCTCGTGGAGGAAGGAGGCCTCGAATGTGAAGGGGTAGGAGAAATAAGCCACATTATCCTAAAAGAAAGAGCGTTATTTTACATGTGATGTCATGTGGAAGGTAAGGCTTCACTCAGAATATGTTCTCCCTGCACCTTCATAAAGAGAGGGGAAAAGGAAAATTCTCTCCATGTAGGAAGCAAGAGGGTAAGAGGGGGAGAGAAATCCAACTAGAAGCTGCTGCCTCTCTCTAAATGGCAGCGAGGACCCTGGGCCAGGCTGTAGTGCAGAAAGCTAAATCAGCTCAAAAACCTTCCCGAGAGTACGAGGCTTCATATGCCACCCCAAGGGTAGAGTCCTCTTCCCCTCAGATCCACTCTCGCATCCTCCATACCATTCCCAGGGATTTCGTGGCACAGGTCTGCGTTATTCCTGAAAGCTGCTGGGGTGCTGGGCTTGACCAGTCTGAAAGGCAAAGAACACATATAAGAAGTATATCTGGGAGGAGGCAGGCCAGAGTAGCTGAGAAAAAGGCAAAGTGCCCACATTCATTCATTTATTCACTCACGCAACATTTACTGTGTTTCTATTACACGTTATGACCAAGTCCTGGGGATACTCTGGTAACAGACAGAAAGACCCCTGTCACTGATGTAGTTAACATCATGGTGGGGAAGACAGAAAACAGGTAAACCAACAAGAAAGGACAGATGAGTATTAGCCTAAAAATGAAATGGGAGTGAAAAGACTAAATGACTTAGATTGCTAGTTTAGATTGGGTGCCCTGAGGAGGCCTTTCTGAGAGGTGACAACTGAGAACTAAAAATCAAGAAGAATCACATTTGCAAAGAGATGGCCAAAGGGAGTTTCCGGCAAAGGCAGTGAACCTGCAAAGGCTCTGAGGTGAGACTGAGCTTGGCAGGTACAAGAAGAGAAAGAAGTTTGGCTGGATGATTGCAAAGGGAGATGGGCAGGGTGAATGCACCCAGCACAAGGAATTGGATGATACTCTAATAGGGATGGTGCATTGTTGGAGGGTTTAAGCTCAAGAGACACAACAGGTTTCTACTTTGAAGATCTCCATTTGGCTGCAGGGGTTTTGGCAAAAGGACTATAAAGGGGGAGAGGAAGTAAGAGGGTAAGTCAGAAATTGAATGCACTAGCCTAGGCAAGAACTGATGGTGGCCTGGTCCTGGGTGCTAGAGAGGACAGATTCGGGACAGCTTTTGAAGACTGAACTAACATGACAGAACTGCTGCTGGGCTGACTGGCTGTAGGGAGACAGAGAAAGAGAGGAATCAAAGGATGTTGTAGCTTCCTATGCCTTTCTAGCCATAGTCTTTGTGACTCCCACACAATGACTGGGTGGGACTATGCAAAGAAGGTGCCCATGGCCCACCAAGGGGATTGGACAGATTTACGGTAATGCAAATCAGGTGCAGGACCTTCTGATGGCTAAGGTTATATGTCAAATTGACTGGGCCATGATTTTCAGTGGTTCAGCAGTTCTCTAAAGATGAACTATTTTTTGTTTTGTGATATGCCTCTATGCCTGTGGTTATGGTCTCATTCCGGAGCGAGATGTCTATTACGTTAATAAGTCAAGATTATGTTGGGCTGTATCTTGGGGCATCACCTTTACTCTAGTTAGCACTCTTCATACTCTCACAATACCTTCCTCCAGTAAGGGGAGCTTCTGTGAGGATCTGGTCGGAATCCAATCTACATGAATGCTCTTGATCCTGCATCAGGCTCATGTGACCTCTGATTCTTGGAACTTGAGCCGGCAGCCTATCCTCTGACCTAATTAGCTGGCGACTAATGGGTTCATCATGCCCTGTAACTATGCAAATGAGAAGTTCCAGACTAATGACTGTCCCAAGGATTTGCAACTTGCTACCCTCTACAATCATATGAATTAGACAGTAGAGTGAATTACGGAACACAGAGACGCGGGGAAGAGTACTGAGGGGGGGGGAGTTAGTGTTAGAGATGATGGAATGGTATAGCAGTTTGGAAAAGGTGGGACATTTTGGACCTCTTTAGACTCTGCCTCACAGGAACTAGCTCTGTACCGATCCTTCTAAAAGAAAGCATTTAGGCAGCTGTCTCCTCGTATGGGTACTGGTAACTAGGTGGATAATGTCACCTTTCTGCTGAGATGGGGAAGAGCAGGAGAGGGTAGGCCTGACGGAGGAGGAGGAATCGGAGGGTTCTGTGTCACACTAAGCAGACATGTCAGGGTGGTAACTGAATGAGTCTAGAGTTAGGGGAGAGGTCAAGAATAAGAGAGAAATTTGGGAGTCCAAGACATTTGGATAGCATTAATGCATGGGATTGAATGAATCACCTGGGAAAACTGCAGATAGAGAGTAGGAGAAGAACCAACATCAGCCGCTAATTAGGTTAGATTCACAGAAGAGGAAGAATCAGGGAAGGAGCATGATGAACCACCAATGAGACAGGAGGAGAGAAGAGTGTGGAGTCAGGGCTGAGAGGAGTTCCACAGGAGAAAAGTCAGCTGGCTCAAATGTGAGGTCAAGTGAGCTGAGAGCAAAGAGCATTACCGAATTAGGCCACATAGAGGTGACACATGACCTTGAAAAGGACAGCAGGTGGGGAGTGAGGAAGAAGAAAGACTGGTTCATAGACTCTGTCAGAAGGGGTACAAACACATAAGCCTTACTTACTAGCTGGCAATTCAACAAAGAAGTGGACGTAGAGATTATCATATTCATAGCCTTGGGCTGAAACTAGAAGAAAGAATGGGTAAGTATTTCAGCTTATTCTTCTACCACTCTTAGCACCCAACCCAGCAAGTTCCCTGATGGACAGGAATCTCCAGGGTTCCAGGAGAGAGTCATTCCCGAGTTTCCCAACTAACATAAACAGCCCAGGACCTCCACCAGGATGGGATGGATGGTATCACAGCTCTAGCTGGACACTTGCCCAAACACCAAGACGCCTTTGTCTGACAAGACACTTACCGACCTCTCCATTTACAAAGAGGCGGAGCGCACCTGGGACGGTCTACATGGGGAGAGACAAGCAGGAAAAGATCAGATCTGGGAGACTCGGCACATCCCTTCCAGCCCCACAAAGCTCAAGGCCTGACACTGAACAGCAGTCTCTGATTCATTACTTCTGCACCCCCTTCCCACCCTGCTTCCTCCACTTTCCCACAAATCTGCTTCATTTCTAAAATTCACAAGGTAGAGGAAAAGTGCACTGTTCAAATATAAATCAGTACAGAGAATTTATAAGAGGACCCAAGGGTGATAATCAGAGCTACCTTTCAGGATACAGTTGAAAATGGAAAATCCCAGTTTCCTGTCGATGGCTGAGGTCAAGAAACTAGGGGGTTTTCTTTTATAATCATTTGCTAATCTTACCTAACTTTTAAACTCTAAACCTCTTGTACTTAAGTTGTTAAAAAAAAATACTAAAAGGATGGTTTGGGCTTTTTACAGAAAAAGGAGACCAGTGAGTAATTCTTTGTTTCTAGATCAAGAAATATAACTTCTGGAATGAAGGAAGACAAAGAAGAGGGTCATAGATAGTGTAAGTGACTGATTTGTTTCTTACACATCAAAACATTTGACAAAACAATGATTCTTTCTATGAGCTACTTGGGGAAACAGTTACATAAAGCATGAGGAAGGCATTTTTCTCTTTCATGTTTCGACAATCATAAAGTACTGTGTGAATGGATTGCCACTGATCAAATTAAAGGCTAGCTCTGGTGGCCTAGTGGGTAAAGAGTTGCACCAACAACCCAAAAGCAGGAGACCTGAATGCACCAGCTGCTTATTGGGAGAAAGATGGGCAGTCACCTCCCATGTGATTCACAGTCTCTGAGCATCCACTGAAGGATCAAGCTAGGAGTCAGTTCTGACTCGATGGCACATTACAACAACCATTACCTAAGTATAGAGAAGTAAAATAAAAAATACTCTCCACATAACTCAACAGCCATCTAATAATGACCCCTAGAGGAAACGTCCCCGTTGGCCCATTTGTGTGTTTGGACTTTTTCCTCGTGCATTAGCAGTTCTTTAACAATGTGCCACACTGTAAAACATATGGTAAGGACTTGGACTTTGCATAGCTGTCAACTTCCTTTTCACACGCTCAAGATCACGTGCTGGGACCGGCAGGAGAGGCACCATCATGCTTCGCCAGTCAGAACGTTCTGGCTGCGCACAGCTCGGTGCTGCCAAAGTCAAGCAACTCACCATCTCGAAGTCCGTGCCCACGAGGCTGTTGAGGTACTCCCTGTGGCGGCCATAAAGCTGAAGAAACAAAATTCAAGATGTAAAGCAGCCCAAGCCTGCGCTCACCTCTGGGTGGGCTGGAGGAAAGCAGCAGCAATGGGACGAGCCTTGTAGAGCCGGAGACCTAAGCATGCTGGCCTTTCCCAGTCAAGACGCTGGCTCTCGAGTCAGCTGCGCCGGGGCCAAATCCCAGCCCCAGCACCTACAGCTGCGTACCCTTGGACAGACCTCTCCCCTTCTCAATCGTGGCTTCCTCATTTATAAACTGACAACAGTAATAGTACCTGCAATGTGCCTAGAAAAGAGTATAGCAAGTACTCAATAAATTCTGTTGTTATTATTATTATAGTTATATTAAGAAATAAAGTTGCTGTCTGATGTGTCAGCAATGCTTCTTAAGACAGAAAGGAGCCCTGAAGAGCAAAAGCGAGCAGGAAGAGACAGGAAGAGCAAGGTTTTCTTTTTCAACTGCTGACATCAGCCTCAGTCACGGTCTCAGCTCCCAGGGGCAGCTCACCCCCAAAGCCTTGAAACGGAGCAGCTCTTACGTCCTTGAACACACGCTGTTCCCGCTCCTCCTCCTCTGGCTGTGCGAGCGAGGACACGTTGTCGATCGTGTATTTCCATAGCTCTTGCTTTTCTCCTTCTGTCTCAATTCTGTAAGGTCAAAGTCACAAAAGGACTGACTTTGATAAGAAGAGATGCACTTCTCCAGATAAAGCCCCATGATATCATTATCACTGATATCATTATCACCTCACTTGAAGTATATGATGCAGATTTCTCTGATGACGACCAGGCGAAGAGAACAAAATGGTAGCTCAGAAAGGTATCAGACTAGACTCAGAGGGTGAGGGTTCAGGACCCATCTCTGCCTCAAAGCCACAGCATTCCTGGCACCCTGTCCTCTCCTCGGAGAAATGGGCATGTTGAGCTAAATGATTTCCAGTTTACAGTTCTGTTTTCCTAAGACACAGGTATGGAGAACACTCAGCTTGGGGAAAGAGACCTGGTTTGAGCTCATCTCACCCTGTTCTGATCACTCCTTGCACTCAGCAGCCCAGAGAACTGTTTTTACTTAACCGCAGGGATTTGCACAGTGATCCCAGCAATGGGCTTAAAGCACTGCATACACTGCGAGATTGGCAGGACCAGGCACTGCTTCATTCTGTTGCACTATGTGCTGGAGCTGACTTGGTAACACCCAACAACGTGCTGAAGTTATCAAACTGGGAAAGGTGTACATTTCCTGAGAGCAAGGCCTCTAGCTTCTTCAAGGTCTATGACCCAGAACAGAATATGAAACACTGCCTGGGAGTGTTAATGTTGACAAATGCAGGCTTCTAAAGGATTTCATCAACGAGGCTCAAGGAATGAAGAAAAGGGAATGAATGTCAGTGTCCACTACCCGGGGCCATTCTCCCTCTCCTCACCTGTAAGGTCCTTTGAGGCCAGTGAAGTCAGGTTTCACCGTGATCACACCATTGTTGTCTACCTTCAGGGTACAGAGAACCTGTTCATACTTCTTATAGCCAAGCCTAGAAACCAGGACATCAACACCAAGGATCAGAATCCCCAGGCAGAGAAATGGGAGGAGGCAGTCAGCACACATCAGTGGGAGGAGGGGAATCTGTGGTAAGATCATCATGGCTGACTACTTTCTTCCAAGTATAATTAAGAAAGAAAAGTCCTCTTCTCTGTGCTTAGCGAAGGTATGGAAGGTGATAGGTTAAGTCTGAGAAGACGAAGGAGGGAGAGGAGGTAAGAAGCTTCACTCACTTTCCATAGGGCCCCAGGTCTGCCATAATGTACATGGTCTGAAGAGGGGTATTAATGACATGACTGCTCCTCACAAAATCTTCTGAGGGTTCCCAGGTGATGATTCGTGACTTGAGGATGCCGCCCTCCCTAGGAGACATCATAGGAAAGGTCAATTCCCTGGTACCCCAAGGAACCTGTGGGGGAACACAGGACAGCAGAGCAGGTGGAGGTGGAGGTAGTGGAGGCTGGGTCCAGAATGGGGGGTTCAAGTCAGAACCCTAGAACGGCAAGACCACAAAGACTCCCTCCCGGCCGTGTCCATGCACAACTGCTCACCCTCGCCTGTCCTGCCGCCGCCGCCTGACATTTGCCATTCGCTCGACCAGGAAAGATGGGATCTCACTGGGTGCCGTGGTCATCTTCTGACAGTGCTGAGAAAAGAGAGCAGCCCTGGGTGAGCCATCTTCTCTTCTCAGGGCTACACGAAGCCAAGTGATTGCCAGTGGGCAAGTCTTCCTTCTGGGATCTCCTCCATCACTTGAACGAACATGTTATTCACCAAACCCACACACCCATCAAGTCAATTCCTACTGATAGCATGGGGTTTCCAAGGCTGCAAATCTTTTGAGAGGAAAATGCCCATCCTTCTCATATGGAGTTGCTGGGGATTCCATCTGCCGATCTTTCAGTTAGCAGTCCAACACATTATGTGCTAGACCACCAGGGGTTCTTGAACTAACAGGTATCACTCACTCACTCACTGCCTCAGAGTTGGTTCCAACTCACAGCTGACCATCCCACAGGTTTCCATAGCTATAAATAGAACCGGAGGTAATTCCCCATCTTCCCCCTCACAGTGGCTGGTGGATGTGAACTGCCAAAGCAGCGTAGCCTCTGAGTTAACAGTACAATTCTCTTTATGGAAGCTCCCTAAACCTGGGGGCTGTTGTTGCCATGTACCATCAAGTCAGAACTGACCCACAGGAGGGCGGACAATCTCTTCTTACACAATTCATTGCCTCTGAAAATCCGCTGGAGGATCAGCTATGAGTCAGTTCCAACTCAACAACAATGGGTTTGAGTTTTGGTTTGACCCTCAAGGAGCTTAAAAACACCCTGAGAAATCAGAACATATCATGCAATGACTGAGAAAATATAAAACAAATTCACAAGAGTACATTAATATAGGCAAATTGAAGACATTAGCCACTCCCTGTGGTTGTACTGTATTCCTCTACAAATTCATTCTGATCGACTTGGCTGAATACCCTGCTGAATTTTCTGTAGACTGTTTCTAGACTCTATCCTCTGTCTCAACTCATAATTCAAGGAGGCAGTCAAGCTCAGTGGTTGCTTTCAGCAGGTGGTCTACAAGACTATCTATCCCCAGAGGCACTGGTCCCTGCCAGCTCTCCCAGATTCTCCAGCAGGCAGAGAACAGAGCAGCAGTCACACTGCCGCAGACTCTACTCCAGCAGCACACAGGGCAAGCTACCCTCATCCTCACAAAAAGCTTTTGGTTTAGAACCCACTGAAAACAGGAAGGCAAAGTACAAGAAGGGAGCTAGGGGACCTGAAAGAGAATAATACCTCCTCCAAATTGGTGTATCTGTCAGAGTCAGTATAGGTAAAGATTCGCCGGTTCCTTCTGCCGCCAGAATCCTCCAGCTTCAGGATCTCTTGACGATACTGATGATCCAAAGGGCTCTGACAGGCTGCTTCATTCTGGTACAGATCTACCTCAAACTAAGGGCGCCAGAAGGAAACAGAGATCTACTGAGAACACTGTTAACTTCTGTTCCTATCACTTTCCAATCTGATTATTTCTACAAAACAGATGCTATTTGACATGTTTTCCTAGCCAGCTCTCATCTACCTAAGCTAATAGAGGGCAGGGGACTCAAAAAAAGGAACCAGCTGGATTACAGATGGTCTAGTCCAACTCTTCTACACACGGCAATGTGGCCCAGAGATGCTAAATGCTGTACCTATGATCATAAAACTCAGCTGCAGTAGAGATGTGACCCAAGTCCACCTGAACCCAGTGCTTGGGCTGCCCTTCACTATGCCCCTAAAAACACAACAGGGGATATTATCTACAATCTGTATCATTAGTCTTCAAAGTCGTATTTTAATCAGGTTATTAATTTCTTCAGAATCTAATCTGAGAATATAATCAGTGAATCAAATTACTTACAAAGATGCCCATTAGGCACTGTTTAAAATTAACGAGGTGGGCCTTGCAGCAACGCCCTGGCCTTGAGAGCTCTACTGGCAGCAGCCTCTTTCAAAGACAGGAATCTTTGCCTGCTGCCAGTCAAGTGTGGATGGGTCAGGCTGTCTTCATGTGCCACTGGCTCACCTGGCTGAAGAGCTTCTCCTGCCATCCAATCACAAGCTCCTCCTCTTCTTTTTCTGGGCGATGCCCACCTCCACAGAAAACAAAGAGTGAGTCAAACCAATGCCACTGTGGTTAACCACAGGCCCTGCTCTTTTATATGGCACAAAGCTAGATGGAGTGCAGTGATTTATTAAGTACTCACTCAGCTAGAAACTATGTGCAGAAACCAGGGTTAGAACTCAAGAGGTCTTAATGATGATTCTAATTTGAATAAAAAATAGTCCTGCCCTCCCTGAACTATGAAACATAAGTACCAGTGTTAGGGACTTAAATGTAGATATAGGCTAAATAGCCCTTTTTCAGTCTCAGTTGCTTGTATTTGCTAAAACAGAATCCTGAAGCTGTGTATTTAGAAGCAAAAACTTTGTAATTCTAAGGAAGATGAAAATAACTTTTTTTTAAAAAAAAAAAGAACAAAATCTAATCTATTCTTAGCTGAGTATGCCTTTTTTGAGACATTTTTCACAAACCAATAGCCTCCATTCTTTTTGAGAAATATATTTTCATAGAAGTGCAAAAAAAGAGAGTGACTAGTGTCCTAACACAAACACATTCTCCTTAATCTTCATTCTTCAAGCTTCCCAGACAAAATGTAACACTTTTCTAGAAGTCCTCAATGTTAAAATAGGTGTATTTTTTACATATATTTATAGCTGAGACATTAAAAAAAAAAAAAGAGTCACTATAGCTGTTAGGTTCCTAGGCAAATATCCAGCATATTGAAAATAAGGTTACTGATACATCGTATCAGCTGACTATAACTCAGATCAGTACCTTGATGTAGGAATCATATCTTATTCCATTTTTGTACATAATCTTTGTTACACAGTGGTTAAAACTGCCTGGTTTCAGTATTGTATCCAACATTTATGAGTGGCAGAACCTGACAAGGAACCCAACCTCTCTCTAAGGTTTCTGCATCTTTAAAAAGGCTACTGTAAAAAGGCAGACCTGGATCCACTGTAGTAAGAGATAACTAAGGCATCCTGGGTTCTCCCCCTACACCAGATCCTCAGCTGCCCCCTTCCCCCGTCCCCGTCACCACTGTAACACCCACTGGCGGTTGGGTGGGGACTAAAAGTGCCCAAGTCAATGAGGTCCTTCCCAGGTTGGGTAGCAGGCCGGTAACGGAGAAAGTTGCTTGATGTGACCCTTTGCAGGTGGACTCTGTCACGAAAAGAGATGTCCAAAATACATGTTACAAGGGCAAAACCAGGAGATGAAAATGCCAAGTTTGGAGAAAACAAAATAGGGCAGGGTGGAGAAGCCAAGATAGGTTATGAGGTGTAGAGGACGGAAGAGAGGTGTGGATGAGGCGTGGTGCTCGGAGGGGTAAGATGAAGATCAGAGGTATACCGGGGACCTAGGATTCCGAGGAATTTGGGTGGCACTGGCTGAAGGGGACTGCGGGGTCTGGAAAGTGTGCTGGGAAGCTCTGGGTGGACAGGAGTTCAGGTAGTGTAGGGAGACCACGGAGGATGTGGTCAGAATTGTAAGTGCAAGTGGAGACCTTAGAATGAGAAACTCAAGCTCGAATCAACTGAGAGGATAAAAGCCTAGCGCCCTGAAGTTGGGGCGTGCTACTACCGGAGACGCAAGTTGCGAACGGGATCCCGGGAACGGTAAACGGCCTCCCCGGTGTCAGTGCTCCAGCTGCTCTCCGCCATGACAGCTGTGCCACTCAGCGACGGCGCCGGAAAGCACGCCGCGCTTGTTTCCCTGGCAACAAGACGCAAGACTCCGGAGGCCGCGGGAATGCTGCGCGCGCAACCCTCAATCTCACTGTGGGCGGTGCCAACGGCAGATCTGCGTGCGCCAATCCTGGGTCTAATGACCACGCCAGAGGATGGTCTCTGGTTATTACCACGTGTGTGAACAAAGTTTGATAACACCCTTAACAAATGAGGAAAACTTGTGCCTAAGCCTCAGCCATATTTCGTATTGTTACTATGAATTGGGTTTTTCAGAGACTGTAAACGGCATAGGAAGAGATGTCCCTTCTTCCTCCTGCGGAGTAGGTGGTTGATTGGAACCGCATGTCTTGGTGCTGACTACACAACTCCTTAGCACTAGACCACGAGGGCTCCATTCATTGAGCACAGTTATTTGCTCTTATGTGCCATCGAATCGCCTGCAACTCATAGCGACCCCTAAACCCTGCTCTATTCTGCGCCAAACTTAGTGTCATCTTATCGAGGATCTGTCCCTCCACCCTCCCAAGCATGACGTCCCTCTCCAAGGACTGGTCCCTCCTTGCAACATGTCCAAGTAGGTCAGATGAAGCTTCAGAATCCTTGCTTCCAAGAAGCAGCCTGGTTTCACCCTCTCTATGACAAACCTGTTTGTTATCTTAGCAGTCCATGGTATATTCAAGATTCTTCGCCAGCACCTCAGCTCAAAGCCATCAATTCTCCTTCTGTCATCCCTAGTCATTGTCCAGCTTTCTGACAAAGACCATCTTTCTCTTGCAAAGACCATGGCCTGTATCAGGAGCACCTTAGTCTCCAGACTGTCTTCGTTGCTTTTCAATACTTTGAAGAGGTCTCGTATAGCAGACTTTTCCAATGCAATTCGTCTTTTAATTTCCTGACTGCTGGTACCAAAAGTGTTGATTGTGGAGCCAGGCAAACGAAAGCTGTTAACAATTTCAATCTCTTCACCATCTATCATGATGCTGCCAATCAGCCCAGTGGTGGGAATCTTTGTTTTCTTTTTTTTTTTTTTTAATCTTTGTTTTCTTGATATTGAGCTTCAATCCATATTTGATGGCTACAGTCCTTGACCTTCTGCAGCAAGGGCTTCAGGTCCTCCTCAGTTTCAGCAAGCAGGGTTGTATCATCTGTATAACACAGATTGTTGATGAGTTTTCCTCCCATCCTGATGCCATATTTCTCCTCATAAAGTCCAGCCACCCGATAATCTATTCTGCATATAGGTTGAAAAGGTATGGAGATAGGACACATCCTTGGTGCAAACCCTTCCCAGTTTTGAACCATGCACTGTTGCCCTACTCTGTTCTGATAACTCCCTCCTGGTCCAAATATAGGTTTCACATAAACATGATCAAGTGTTCTGGAATTCCCATTTTTCTCAGAGTCAGTGACAGTTTGTTGTGATCCACACAGTCAAAGGTTTGCATAGTCAATGAAACACAGGTAGACATTCCTCTGGTATTCTCTGCTTTCAGCCAATATACAACTAACATTAACTATAATATCCCTAGTACCACAGCCTCTTCTAAACCCAGCCTGCACTTCTGGTGGTTCTCTGTTGATGTGCTGCTCCAGTCGTTTTGGATAATTTTCATCAGAATCTTGCTTGCATGTGATATTAATGATATTATTTGATAATTTTTGAACTCTGTTGGATCACTTTTCTTTGGAACTGGAACCAATGATCTCTTCCAGTCAGTTGGCCAGGTGGTTGTCCTCCACATTTCTTGGTACAACTTGGTGAGCACATCCAGGGCAGCATCTGTTTGCTGAAATATGTCAATTGTCATACAATCAATCCATTGCGTATAGAAGAAGAAAATGGTGATGGAGTTAGCTTGATATCACTCTTTCCAATATGCCATCTACCTTCTTACTGGTTTCCTTGCCTGGAAAATTGGTTGATGTGACTCAAAGAATGCATTCATTCTTTCCAGAAGGATAACACTTACTTAGAAAGAAAAATATATTCTTAGAAGGAAAAAAAAACCAACCTGTCAAGAGATCCATTGGAGTTTCTGTTGATATTTATGGATCGAGAGGAAGAAAAAACAAGGAAGTTGACAGCCAGAAGGAAGACGTTATTGTTGAAGGGATTCTCCTCTGTATGTGTTAAGCCACTTATGAAAAGACACTGTCCTGAAAAGCTAACAAAATAACATTCAGAAAGCATGCTTCACTGGACTATGAAATGAAGCAGGATGCACCATGCGTGAAGGCTGGTAAGCTGGCACCCTGGACATTCATTAATCTTTGACATCTGTTGCTCTACCAACAGAGTAAGATTCTGAACTCAGAATCTTGTGCTACTAAGAATCCTCGTTGGCATATCCGTTGTTGTGTAATGCTAAAGCCTCACCATAATAATAGCACCATTTATATAGAACCAAATAAACTGAGCAATAGATAAGGAAGACCAAAGAAGGTTTGATGCCTTTGGTCTGTGGTGTTGGCAATGAATGCTGAATATATCATGGTCTTCCAGTAGAATGAATATATCTTTTTCTTTTTAAATTAATATTATTATTATCATTCATACACACTGTGTTTCGTGCATATACAATGTGTTTCATACAGTCAACAAATCCGTCTGGAAAGAAGTGCAGCCTTAGAAGGGAGGATGATGAGACATTGGTTCATGTATTTTGTACATGTTTTCATTCTCCACCGTCTGGAGGTTATCACTGGTGTTAAAGTAGAAACTCAAACTCATTCCCATTGACTGAGCCCAGACTTACAATGCACCTCCACTGGTTTTCTGAAGCAGTAAATTCTACTGACAGGAAATTCTGCATCATTCTCCCTCCCAGCAGCTGGGCGATTAGAATCATCAAAGACTTGCATGTTTGGTTATCAATGGATGAAATAATATCATTAGAATGCTATCTCCTAAGAAATGGTCATTTTTCTTTTGAAAGTTGGGAATAACAGGAAGCTCTGGTGGCCTAGTGGCAAGAAGCTGCACTGCAATCCAAGAGGTGCACGGTTCGAAGCCACTATATGCTCTGCTGGAGAAGGAGGGACAATCTCCTCCTGTACCAGTCAGATCCAATTTGACGGTACACACACACAAAAATAATAAAATAAAATAAATGAAAAAAAGAAATTTGGGAATAGCAAGAAACAAAAAGAAGCCTGCAGAAATGGAAGACTATACCTAATAGAATATGCTAATAGATAAGAAAACTCAATACTGTGAAAATTACAATTCGGCCCAAGACAATCAATCTACACATTCATTGCGATCTCAACACAGATACCAATTCCACTCTTCAATGGGATGGAAAAGGCAGTTTTGATACCTTTGAGTGAGTTCTGGTGCTGGAGAAAAGTATTGAACATACCATGGACTGACCAGAAAGCAAACAGGTCTGTCCTGGAATGGGTGAAAACAAGTTACTCCTTGGAGGCAAGAATTTTTAAGTTCCATCATACATATTTTGGACATGTTGCCAAGAGAGACCAGTCCTTATAGAAGGACATCATGCTTGGAAAGGTGGAAAGTCAGTGTAGGAGAGGAAGACCCTGGAGGAGATGGATTGGCAAAGTGACTGTAGCAATGGGTTCAGGTGTATCAGAGATGTTGGCTCAGGATAGGGCAAAGTTTAGAGCCATTATTCATAGGCTCACAACTTGGTAATTGTGAAGACCATGGTCTGGATCAGGCACACCTTAGTCTCAAGAGATGTCCCTGACAACAGAGTTTCTGGTAAGATTGGCCTTAACAGGAAACTTTTCCAAAAAGAGGTGTTTATTTTAGAAATCCAGGGACTATAAAGTTCACTGTCCATACACCTCCCATTCTTAAATCCTCTAAATAACAAAGAAATAATCTCTAAGAAGCTAGTTTTCTTATTGCCAGAACTTTCTGCTAACTGCAGGATTTGTTCAGTCTTTAAAAGTCCACTCACTTTTCCAAAATCAGCAATAACTTTGAAAAATTCTGTACTTACGTCTGTTTACCATACTCATGTGTTTCTGTAATGCTGGAAGTTATGCCCCCTAGTATTTCAAATACCAGCAGCCCAGCCAGCCATGGTGAATAGATTTCAGCAGAACTTCCAGACTAAGAGAGGTGAAGAAGCAGGACTGACCATCAATTTCTGAAATAATAGGCCCTTGAAAATTCTATGGCTAGCTCCAGAACATTGGACAAGGGCCACCTGGTGCTGGAAGATGTGCTTCTCAGATTGGAAGACACTCAATTGATCAGGAATCATTTCAGGAGTTAGCATATGTTCAAGGACCAGTGATAAAGATGGGAAAAGTCCAAGCTAAACTGAAGGCACTGGCAAAAAAATAAGGCTTTAGGAATTGATGGTATATCAGTTGAGGTAATTCAGTCAACAAATGAAGCCATGGACGTGCTCACTCATCTATACCAAGGACTTTGGAAGACAGGTTACCTAGGCAATGGACTCAAAGATATATAGATATAGAGATGAGATAGAGATAGAGATAAAGATAGAGATAGAAATAGATAGATAGATAGATAGATAGATAGATAGATAGATAGATATACCCATTCTAAAAAAAAGGTGATCCAACAATATCATTAATATCTCATGCAAGTAAAATATTGCTGAAGATTATTAAAAATAGTTGGTGCATACATTAACAGGGAACTGCCAAAAATTCAAGCTAGAATTCAGAAGTAGCTATGGCATGGGGTCTATAATTGATAAGGTTGGAAGGATGCTGGTTCAAAACAAAGAGTATCAGAAAAATGTTTACTTGGGAGGTTTTTTGCCTATATAAAAACACTCAGCTGTGTGGATCGTAATTATGGATAACACAGAGACGAATGGGAATTCCAGAACACTTAATTGTGCTCATAGGCATTTTGTACATGAACCAAGAAGAAACGGTTCAAACAAGTTAAAGGGACACTGCATGGTTTAAAAGCAGGAAACATGTGTGTCAGGGTTATATCTTTTAACCATACATATTCAGCCTGCCTCTATGCCACATTGCATTGGGCAAGTCCACTGTCAGGGATCTCTCCAAAATGCAAAAGAGCAATGATGTTAGTTTGAAGACTACGGTGCCCCTAATTCAGGCCATGGTCTTCTTAATAACCTGCCATGCGTCGGAGAGC